AAAAAAAAAAAAAAAAAAAAAAAAAAAAAAAAAAAAAAAAAGAAAAGAAAATCAATTAGGACCAGGGATCTAGCTCAGTGGTACCACGCCTGCCTCGCAATCACAAGGTCCTGAGTTTGATCCCCCCATACCAAAAAACAAAAACAATAGAAAGCTAATTAAGTATATTCTATAGTTACTCCTCAGCCATTAAAGAGAATAAGGCAGCTGCACATCTGCTTACATATATACAAGATACATTTTACTTAACTATTTATATTTAAATAATTTTGAAATTACTATTGACTACTTAAATAACCTTGTACTACATCTGAAGAATTCCAAAGAAGCTGCTACCAGCCATCATCCCTGGAAAAAGGGAGGTGGTTCTTATTTTCCACTTTCATACCTTTTGAATTTTCTACTGGATGCTTGATAGATAAAAATAGATCACTATTACTAAAAATTTGTTTTAAAAAACAACGTATCACACAAGTTCATGTTGCCTTTTACCTTCAAGCAATCTCTTACCTGCTAGTTGGTGCAGGGAAAGAAAATGACAGAAGCTGATTCCAGAATGGGTCATTCTCAGAGACAGATTCTGTGCCTGATAACTTTTTTAAATACTCATTTTGAGGAAGATCACTGATCCTGCTGCTATTTGACCCCATCTTCTACTGTGGTAGATAACTTGTCTTTACACCTGCATTCCCATAGGGCAACCTATAAAAACAAAGGAAAAAATTCAAACTTATTCAGAATAGTCACCATTCTTTCCCTACCTTTGGCCTATATATTCAAAAACTATAAATTTAATAAAAGAAATCACACCTCTTAATTATATTAGATAACAGATGCAAAGTTACAAGAAGAAAAGTGGAGTTAAATTCATCCCATCTATGCAAACACAAAACCCAAATCTATACTTGGACCATAGATCTTAAGATGAGCACATGTCTGCTCAAAAAAATATCAAAGAAAATTCCTAACAAAGGTAACTTATTATCAGAGTCTGAAAATGGGGCTCATTTACAACAGAGAGGATGGTGCTGGAGAAATACAGGCACAGGACAGGAAAGTGCAGAGAAGTTGCAGTAAGCTATGCACACTCAGGGGAAGCAGGATGAGGATTGTTCTGAACTACATCTTTCCGGTAAAAGGGCTGCCCCAATTCCAAAGGACTCATATGTAATGTTACTCTCGTTCTGTTGTAATGCATCCATAGTACTTACTACCATGGACTTTTTTCCAATCCTTGAACCTTACTGTTTGATGACAGGGACTATCTTTTGTTTGGGGGGGTACCGGGGATCTAACTCAGGACCTCGAGCTTACCAGGCAGGTGTTGTGCCACTGAGATAAATCCCCAACCCTGGGACTATCTTAATTCTTCTTTCTAGTCCCAATATCTAACTAGCATGTAACAAACATTCCCTAAACAGTACGTTACAGAAATGAGGGATGTTGGCCATTAAGGAAAAAACTGTCCATCATTAGAAAACTGATTAAATATATTCTATAGTTACTCTTCTTCAGCCAATAAAGAGAATAAGGCAGCTGCACATGTGCTTACATATACAAGACACATTGTACTAACCATTTATACTTGATTTTGAAAGACTACATGAGGTACAGCTTAAATAACCTTGTACTTGGTCTGAAGGATTCCAAAGAAACTACTACCAGCCATCACCTCTGGAGAAGGCAGGTGGTAGAACAGGAGAAAAAAATTTATTTCCTACCACTTGGTTTTGTTACAAATATGAATCACTGTTTTCCTCAACTCACACTTAACAAAGTTGTAGATCATGTTGTGTCTCAATTTGCTCAGATTAAGTGTCTCACTGAACAATAAAATGGTGACAAGATACATAATAATTTCACCGTACTTTCACAAGGAAAGAAACTATGTGGGCTCAGTGGCCAAAGAAAACTCAGGTCAGATGAAAAATTTTATTAGTGACTAACTTTTACTATGTCCCTCCTCATTCCATGAAAGCAATAAAGCTAAGGTCAGAATTTCCATGTTCCCTTCAGAAATGAACTGAGTTGCTCCTCTGAGGGCACCTACACAGCTGGTTCTCAGGAATATCAGTCAGAAACACTGCTCTGGCTCCTCATTATCTGTCCCTCAGCCCAAGGTCTCCCATTGCTTTCACCCTCCATAGTTATCGGGACAAGGGCCCCAATAAGGGGAAGGGAGGGAAGGGGCAGGGCAGGGCAGGGCAGGGAAAAACATTTTAAAACATGCATACAATTTTATGGATCTATTAATATCTGGCATGAGTAGTAAAACACATGAGGAAAACAGAGAGAATTCTAATCATATCAGAAAGGCAGAGGGAGAGGGTCTGGGGAGATGGCCCACTGGTACAGTGCTTGACTAGCATGAACAAAATCTGGGTTTGATTTCTAGTACTGTAGAGAGACATAAACAGAGAAAAAGGGAAAAAGGAAAGAAATGAAACACAACCAGCAAAACTAACATTTGCTGAAATGGACAGTATTTACATGGTTTTTTGTTATATTACCTGATTCCAACTGTTTCATGGGCTAATTTTTTTTTTTTTTTAACCAGGGATCGAACTCAGGCCCTGTGCTTACAAGGCAGGTAGCAGAAACATTGAAGCCAAATCCCTTGACTTGTGTTTAATTGTTAAAAAGAAAAAAATTGGTTTCTGGAAGACAGATGATAGGTGAGTGATGCTATTAAAACATTAAGAGGAAATGACAACTAAAAACCCAGAGTTAGCCAAGCTTCCAACTAAGTATGTAGGCAGAATGAAGGCATTTTCTGACTCGCCAAGATTCAAAACATTTTCCAGGCACCCCATTTTCAGGAAGCTACTGGAAGGTGTACTCCTTCCATACAAGAAGGCAGGAATAAGGAAGATTCAGAATTCAGGAAAAGTGGATTCAACACAGGGCAGTGATGAAGCCAAGCCCCAGGACAAGAGCTATGTAGCAGACTAGAATAACAGGCAAATGGCTCCAGGACCTCCAGAAAAAAAATAATAAAACTGACAGGTAACTTGATTGTCTCACTTTATTTATTATGTAGACTATTACAATACTGTAGGAAAATCTGGAATTAATAATAAAAAACAGCCACATAGGAAACAAAGAAAATTTATTTTTTAAAAATTTATATACTTTAGCGGGGCATGGTGGTACAGACCTGTAATCAGTCCCTACACAATGAGAGGTTGAGGTAAGAGAAAGAAGTTCTAGCGTAGTCTGGGCAACTAAGCAACTCAAAATGAAAACATCTCAAAATGAAAAAAATAAAGTGGTTTGGCAGATCCCAGAATGCAGCAGTGTGGACCAGAGCAGTATGGCTGCAGGGAGATCCAGCCAGGCCCTTACCATGACCCCAGCAGCTTGGGCACACAGGACCAAGCCAAAGGCCCACCAAGACAAGAGCTGCACAGGTGCACAAGCAACAGCCAGAGGCCCACCCCAACACCACTGATAAGTATGCCCAGATCTGGTGAGCAGCAGTGTGGATCAGAGAGGCCTAGCTTCAGGCAGGTCTAGCCAGGGCCCTGCCCTGACCCTAGCCACTTGGGCACACAGGCCCAAGCCAAAGCTCCACCTGGAAAAGAGCTACACAGGTACACAAGCATCAGCCAACCCCCCAATACCTTCAGTAAGCTCACAGAGACCTTAGCCAGCAGCCTGCTCAGACACCAGGGAATGAGGTGCACAGCCCCCAGGCCAAAGGCCCTCCCAGACAACAGCTACACAGGGGCTCTACCCAGAGGAACACCTAGATACCATGCCAAGTATGCACAGGCCCCAGCCAGAAGCCCTCCCAGACAACAGGTCAGCTCAGGGATCCAAAACACCACCATTCTTAACCCATAAATTCATGTTTTGGTGAGCAGCAGAGTAAAGGCCGCTGGGTGGCCAAGAACTGAAGACCACCGGGTGAGCAAAAAGTTGCCTCAACAAAGGCATAGCAGGCTGCATCTATTGAAATAAGACACATAAACAAGTCTCAAAACCAGACTTCCAGATCACCTGAGGCAACCCCAAAGGGAAACAAGATGGAACAATCAATCTGATAATCACCTGGACTCCCTGAACTGGCAGTGAAAGAAGATCAGGAAAAAAATGAAATTAGAACTGATTTCTCAGATAACAAGAGATTGTGCCCATACTGCAAGACATGATTAATAAATCTAGAGCAGACAGATAAAAAAAAAAAATAGAGGAGCTGAGAAACATGATGTAATCCCAACAGAGGAAACAAGTGGAATTCATAAAAGAGATGCAAACAGATTTCCAGGAGATTAAAAGTTCCATTTAAGTTTACACAGCAGAATGAGCCAATGTGAGGACAGAATTTTGAATGACCAGTGATGCTAAACATTTTCTCATATATTTTTTGCTATTTCTACTTCCTTGTCTAAGAAAGGTCTGTTCATTTCAGATGCCCATTTCTGGGTTGTGTCTTTAAATTTGGGAGGCCTTATACATTCAATCACCTCATCTTTGACAAAAAAGCCAAACACCCACACTGGAGGAATGATAGCCTCTTTAAATGATGCTGGAAAAATTGGGTTTCAACTCGCCAAAGGTTAAAACTAGACATATATCTCTCACCATGCACTAAGCTAAAATCAAAATAGATTAAAGATCTAAATATTAAAACAAACACTAGGGCTGGGCGTGGGGGTGCATGCCTGTAATCCCAGCACTCAGAAGGCTGAGGCAGGAGGATCACTGTGAGTTCGAGACCAATCTGGGCTACATAGTGAGTTCCAGGTCAGTCTCAACTACACAGTGAGACCCTGTCTCAAAAAACAAACAAACAAACAAACAAACAAAACAGAAACACTAAACCAGCCAGAAGAGAAGTTAGGTAGAACTCTTGACCACATTGGCATAGGAAAAGATTTTATGAACAAAATCTCAGTTGCATATGAACTAGCACAAACAATGAACAAATGGGATCTCTTCTTATTAAAAAGCTTCTGCACAGCAAGAAAAACCACCAACAGTGTGAAGACACAACCCAAGATGTGGGAAAAAATTTTCACCAAGGGCCAGGGATTTAGTTCAGTGGTTCCACCACCTGCCTCGCAAGCAGAAGGTCGGGAATTCGATCCCCAATATGCAAAAAAAAAAAAAAAAAAAAAAAATCACCAACTGTTCCTCAGACAAAGATCTACTATCTAGAATATATAAAGAACTTAAAAAATTCAGACCTCCCAGTCAGGCAGGGTGGTGCACGCCTGTAATCCCAGCACTGGGGAGGCTGAGGCAGGAAGATCCCTGTGAGTTCGAGACCAGCCTGGGCTACATAGTGAGTTCCAGGTCAGTCTCAATTACATAGTGAGACCCTAGATATCTCAAAAAACAAACAAACAAACAAAATAAAATAAAATAAAAAAACCAGACCTCCCAAATTTAAAGACCCAATCCAAAAATGGGCATCTGAAATGAACATTTCTCAAATAAAGAAGCAGAAATAGCAAATAAATATATGAAAAAATGTTCAACATCACTGGTCATTTGAGAGATGAAAATGAAAACAATGCTGAGATTCCACCTCACCCCAGAAAGAATGTCTACTATCATGAAATCAACCAATATCAAATGCTGGTGGGGCTGTAGGGAAAAAGGAACCCTGATCCCCTGATGGTGGGAGTGTAGACTGGTACAACTATTGTGGAAATCAGTACAGAGATACCTCAAAGAACTAGGATTGGAGGTCT